TAAATAATGCACCAAAGAACATAGACTAATAACATGCAAAAAGTAGACAATTTCCCCTAACTTTCAAAATTTTTCTGGTATGCAACAAGAGCTGTTACAAATTCATCCAAGCTAGTCGTTGGCTTTCCCAAGGGAACAGAGCTTGTACACTGAGTGAAATTGACGACTATCTGTTCAGAACACAACATTATGCAATACGTCTCTTGATAGATGTAAATCTTGGCTTTCTATTGGTTATAGGTAATGTATATTAAACTTAAGAGAGAACTATTAACAAATCTTGAAAGAGAGGATTTGGCAGGAGGGGTCTGATTTTATATTTGATAGCTCTGTAACCAAACAAAATTGAAGTCTATAAAATTATGGCTTGTATGAGCAATGATGATCTTATGGTGAATAATTTACATTGAATTTTGTATTTTTTTGGAGGGGTGATGGATAAAATAGAGAAGAGAAGATACCTAAAGAAAATGTGTCACACTAGGGGAAATTCAGGATGTTTTTAAATATTGTCTTATAGAATTAAAAACTTAAATACTATTAAAATATGAATTATTAGCTAATATTTTATGCTATACTAAAGTTGTTTAATAACATTTTGAATGTAAGACACTAAAACCTTGTGTCATGTACAGTTAAAGATACTCGTGGCAATATGGTTAATGAAGAATGTTGACAGCCCTTTTGTATTTATTTTTTTTATAATCTACTCTTAAGATATCCAAGTACCTCAGATGAGTCTCAGTATTATATAAATATTCATATCTCTTAAAACCATGCAAGTCCCAACTAACAATTTAATACAACCAAACTAAAAATTGAAATAATAATTATGGTTCATCTTCATTACGTACAACTTCAAGTGTATTTAAAATAATTATTACCTATAGCTATAAAATTGAACTCTCATGAAAATGCAATATTGTGTATGCCCTCCCATTTTTTAATTGGGTTTATAAATCAAGGACACTTTTTTGCAAAGTAATCCATAAACATTTCATCTTTCACACTCTGATAAATATTCTTTTGGCTTTGTTTTTTAATTCTTAAAAGTTATTAAAATATAAAAGAAAAAAACATGATAAATGGTCATCATACCCATCCACCCCTTCCTGACAGACATGGTTAAATTCTACTGATGCTGATGATTTCATTGTGGCTTCTTTTTTACTTCCTGAATGGCCAAGATGTAAAATAAAAAACTGATGTCTTACACCTTCAAATAACTGGCTTGTTTTTATACTGCTCACTACTAGTGAGGTCCACAGAATACATCATGTTGAGTAATTTTGTATTTTTTGCCTGTTGTAAGGAACTTTCCAAAACAAATTGGGTGAAATCACTCAATTCACATGTAAACTACATAGAGGACCCCAGTCAGCAGTAATTAGCAGAATCTGTTTAAATATTTTTGGATAATTCTTAAGTTATTAGGTATCATGTAACCAACAGTCAAGCAGTTTGATGTGTAAATATTTGATAAAATTTATTCAAAAAGCTGAAAGACCCCATTAGTAATTATGGGGTTAATAGTTTTTTCTCCCTTACTGAACACCTAAAATTTAAAATAAAAAGCAGGATATTAAAGCTTTTACAAAATGATAAACTTCCTGAACTATTCCTTCTTCGACAACTAAAATTTAGAACAGAAAACATGGCAATAGTTTCTGCAAGTTTACAAATGTCATAATGGCTTTTATTCTTCTTATTGTAGACACTGATTGATGTTCTCGAAGCCTCTTTTTCCTTTTTGAGAAGTCATAATTAAAACAAGTTAATCACTTAGAATTTTTGTTTCATTTTAATGGTATTCTACTTAATATTAATTGCTAATTAATATCAATTAATTATATTTAATATTAATTATAACTAAAACTTTTTTAAAATATCACAATTTTTACCTCTGGCATGAATGAAATGTAACATGGGAGCTGTTTCGACCATAAAAATGACCTCGTACTTTGAGAGAGAATGATTTTACAGGGGGTGGGGTTAGCAGGTGATTCCAGTCAACATTATGCTGTATGGACATTTGTAATATTCCTAGTCCTGATCCCTGAGCTTTAACAATAATTGGTCCCCATGCATTTGGGATCTAAAATGAAAATCAAATTATCAGCAATAAAATATATATATAGATATAGTGAGTATTCTTTGCAGAATATCATATAAAAATATAGAAGAATTAAACTGAATTAACTTATCTTGCTGTTATTTTACAACTCACATTTTCTCACATGAAGTTTAACTTTTGAGACAGAGTTATTAAGAATAACATTCTTTTAACTTAAAGCACATTTCTTCTCTTTATGTTGAGTTACAATATAGATTATATTTATTAATGGTTTATGACATTATCTTACAAAACAAACTATGCATATAAAAATTATATTTGAACACTTCATAAAAATATAAAATTAAGTATTTCTGAAGTAAAAGTTCAATTTGTTTTGACATCACTAACCTCAAGACTTTGAAGCTGAGATAAGTTGTCTTCTCCTACATATAAATGTTTAACAAAACCTGGTGTAGAGGGAGCTTCAACAGTTAGTGAGATGCCAATAACATCACTGAGCCTGGACTGAATAGCATACTCCATCAAACCTTGGTAAGCTATAATTGTATCCTGCAGGTTATCATAAAATGGTTATAATTAAACAGAATCTTGATAAGCTAATACTATGTACCTAATTATTCAAAAACTGTAACAATAAACAACATTTTTATAAGCTATAACTGTGTCCACACAAAGTTGTAATTATGTAGCTTTAAAATATATTGAAGTAAGAAGCTTATATTTTACATAGTGACAGATTTCAACAGTCTTAAGATTAACTTTAAAAACTCATTATAACCAAGCACTAACAAATATGTTTTCCTTTAGACTCTGAAGTATGTTCAAATAAAGTTCTTTTTTATAATTACATAAAAATCTTGATAACCTAAAAGCAAGCTAAACACTAATTATCACTGTGCAGGGACAAAGTTCAAATTAAACAAACTTGTAAATGTTCGTATCAATCTTTAGATGTTTTTGAAGAAAAAAATAATGCCAAGGTATAAATTAGTTATCAAACTGGAAAATAAATAAGAAAAAATATTTTCTTGCATTAAGTATATAGTTTACAATAAGAAAATGATCAGGTAGCAGTTATCCTAACATAATAAATGATTAATAAAAATATTTTGATCTTTTATAATTTTAATCATTAAACTATCACTGCAAGTTTTATGTATCATACGATAAACTTAATCTATATAAATTATACTTTCTTGAAAGCTAAGAAATGATTAAACTTGAAATATTTCTAAAATTTTTCCAAAAAATATTATTATTAGGAAAGAGATACTTTTACTATAAAGGTGGTTTCAAAAACAATAGTATAACTACTTACAAATCCATAGAAGATTTATTTGCAATATATTTTGCAGAACTTCACACTGTTCACTAAATAACTGAACTCCTCACCTGAGTGGATGCCCATCCACCATCTGTCAATCTCTGTGTACTAAGCCATCTAACAATTTCTTTTTGAATCACTGCCTGCCTTGCTACATGCACCAAGAGTCCAAAAGCTGTTGCTGCAATGTTGGAGGAATCATATTTGTGTGGCAATCGAGGAATTAAGTATGGGCGATTGTTCTCTATTGTGGTTTTTGGGGGTGGTACGGGCTCTTTACCCCAGTACACCAATCCACCTGAGCAACATGAAATATTAGTTTAAATAAAAGAGAAGATCTTACAGAAAATTAGATACTTGAAAAAAAAAAAACTTGAAAAAGCCTAAACCATTATACTCAAAAACAGTTTTATTGCCAAATATATTTAACTAATAATCTGAACTATAATAGACCTATATAAAGTAGCAATTATATAAAACCTTTATTGGATATTATTAGTTTAAGGAATAAAAACCATCACTCATTTCATGTCAATTAGATATACTGTAATAGAGTAATTTAAAAGTTTTAATTACATTTCTTGCTCATATTATAACCCAAATAAGATATTCCTTATATATTGTGAAGAACAAGTGAGAACACAAGTACTGGTATGGTTTCAGGATTTATCACCTACCATCAACATCTTGAGCGAGAACAAATCAAGAAATTATAAAACACCACTGTATATATTTGCTGCTATCAGCTGTGAATGCATTTATAAGTAGAACTGATCAGTTCTTACTAAAAAATAAGTCAGATAGTGTATACACTTTTCTACAGCTAGCCAGAAGATAAAAATGCTTTGCTTCATTTTTCTCATACTCAGTAAAACCCAAATGTATGTATCAAAATGCACCATTGTTGCTATTCGCTTTTAAAGATAAAAAACTTACCACACTCATTAGCTGTACACATAAAATTTCTAAATTTTTATTTTCACACAATTCAACAATAATGCTAACTGTATTTTAACTAACTTGTTTCTCTCATTCTGGCATCCAACATGTTGAAGGCTTCCTCCCCATCTACGCTGTTACATAATGTTAAGGCATAGGTCACAATTGCCAGGTCAAAAGGGTCTTCATACTGTTTTACTATGTGAAGCATTTTTTCTAAGTATCTCATTGCTCTAGTTCTTGCAGCCGCAACTTTTGATCCTAGGTACTATAATAAAATTCAATGAATACAGGCAGTATTAAGCCTAACATTCAAAATAAACAACAAATATGGAGATTATTCTATTGTTTGTATAAAGATATTAAATTTCACATGTACAACTGTAATTTTAAAGGATATTCTAAGAAAAAATCTAGGCTGACTACTTGTTTGATCCATTGCTTAAATCCTTTGATTTAGTAATTTTGTGAACCTTCTGTCCTGATCCCAACAGATTATTTAAACTACATTTATCCAACAAGTTTACCACTTATTAAACAAAATTTACTAACTGAAAGCTTTACTTACCCCTCTAAGATTTTTCACCTCTGACAGTGTGATAAGAACATGAGCAGTGAGAGAGATGTTTCGGTGGTGTATGGAATCACCTAGTCTTTCTGACTAGAGTAAAGTATAGTAATATAGCTCTATTAATGTTTAAACACATGGAAAAAAACTACCATTCATTAGTTTATACACACTAAATGGAACACACTATTAAATAATCTGAGGTACATGTATCTCTTATACATGCTATATTATATATATATTCTTCTCACCAATTATTTTTCAAAGAATCTCAACTGTTTTCTACAAATAAAAACAACTTGCAATTGATAATGTAAGTTAGAACAAAAATTCACTAAATATGAATACAAACATCAAATGTAAACTAGACAAGAAAGTTTGAATTAACCTGAAATACTAAAAATGCAATAGTCACAGCAACACTTCATTTTACTAGGCTTTAAGACAGCTTGAATTAATCTGAAATAATGGACACATCATGCAATATTCTACTAAGCATAAAAGAACAACATATTATTAATTCATAAAGTTAAAAATTGAAATACTGAAGGTACTGAAACTTAATGAGCATTACAGCCAACAACTCATGGGTAAAACAGGCATTATCTTCAAAGAATGACAAAGGAACAAAATCAATTATACAACTTTCTTGACCAAGTTTTATGTGAAAACTACATGTACTCAGAATAACTGATAAATTTTCAGTAATATTATATTAATATAAAAAGTTATAAAATGCATGGTACACTTATATACCATAGTGCCATTAATAACATGTTCATGTTGAGGTAATTGGACGTTGCATAATTAATTTTAAAAAATTTGCACGTTGTGCATGTGTGTCAACTCCAGTGTTCTTCAATGGTAGATCAGGTGATATCTCAAAATTATGACCTCTCTATGTTTCAATGGGATTTACCAACAGTGACATAGGTGGTGCATGCATCCTGAGATTGTTTGTTTGTTCTAGAATTTCATGAAAAACTACACATGGGCTATCTGCACTAGCTGTCCCTAATTTAGCAGTGTAAGACAAGAGGGAAGACAACTAGTCATCATCAACCAATACCAACTCTTGGGCTACTCTTTTACCAATGAATAGTGGGATTCACTGTCACATTATAATGCTCCTACAGCTGAAAGGGCGAGCATGTTTGGAGGGATGGGGATTCGAACCCGCAACCCTCAGATTGCGAGTCAAGCACCCTAACCATCTGACCATGCCCGGCCTCATACTGAGAAGATACTGTTACAGGATTTGGTATATAATCCTATCATCTCCTAGTTAGATCTCTCTCTCAAGTTCAATTTCCCAATTTGGTAAATGACATTTAATACTCTCCTAGAGTTTAACCTTTAATGTTAACTAATTCTTAGTGTCAGATATACATGGCTGTTTTATTTAAATTTAATATGAGAGTTATGATCTCGATAGATGATAGTTATAAAGCACGAGTGTTAAACTCAGTAGTTTTAGAAGCGATAATATATTGCATAATTATTTGTACATAATTATTTACAAATCATCTGTTGCATAGTTCAACTGTTGTGAATTGACATCATGTTACTTGAACCTTCTGAATTTTACTCATTGCTCTAAGTGAGTATTGTTATATCATAGCATCTCGCAGTTTGTAGAAAGTTTAAGGCTTCAGTCAGGCAATATATATAGGTAACCAAGTTGGCGCAACTAAGTAAGTTAGTGAAAGTGAAGTTAGACTGCATAACAAGCAATTTCTTAAGTGAGTTTCACAGCTTGTATTGTGATAACAGAGATAGAGGAGAATAAGTCTTCTCAAAGAGTATTCTAAAGTAACTGAACCCATCTGTGTGGACAAAAAAAGAGACAATTATTTACAGCTTTGGATACAAACGTGATAACAAATTTTTGTACATATGTTTGACTTGTTTTGAATAAATTATTTTAAAACAAGTGAATTGCATGGTGTTCGTTTATTTAATTTATCACCAACAAGTCACAGACACCTACTGTAAAGAATCTGGTATTATAAAACCTGAAAATATACATATGTATATACCCTACTTAAATAGTTCCTTTAATGTTGTTTACAATGATACAAAAACAAGAAGGAATATTGAGTGTATAAACGTGTAGATAATAAGAAGGATATTGAGTGTATAAATATGTGGATAACAAGGGGAGGATACTGAGTGTATAAATGTGTAGATAATATGGGGGATATTAAGTGTATAAACGCGTAGGTAATAAGGGGAATATCTAATATCCATATATTGACCTATTAAAGTGAGTCAGGTTTCGTTTATAAAATGTTTTAGAATTTTGTTTATACTGTAGAAGTTTAATAGTATATTTTCTCTACTTCATTTTCTAACTTAAGTTCATTTCTATTATCCCTAACGTTAAACATTTGGCACTGGTACTGTAAAAGTACTAACTAAGCTATGATTATTCTACTGTTCTATATTTCTGCCTTTAAGTACAAACCAATGCTAATATTAGGTTACAAGTGTTTGCAATGAAATCTCAAACTTGTAAACTTTTATAAATAATAGAAATGCATCCTGTTATACTATCATACTAACAGTAATATTGCATTAATAATAAATAATCAATTTTATAATTAAAACATAACAAGTAAACACCAAAACAGAAATTTGCTTATATCTTAATAAGTTGTTAGGTGAATTATAGAGATAACTATCAAGTAAAGGTATTGTCCTTTGTCCTATGTGCTTATTTAACATGGACCATTTTTGAATATGAATAAAAATTGTTTTCACTATGCCAGTCAAATTAAAGAACACAGATTTACTTCAAAACAAATATCTTGTTGAATCTCCGATAATTCTACAGACCTATCCCATTACTTTAAGGAAAATCAATTTGACCTGAATACCACAACACCAAATACTTAACAAATTGTAAATACTGAAGTCCAACAGGTAACTTAAGTCATAAATTTCTGCCAACTAAGTTCTTCCAAATTTAATCCCAAGATTTCTCAATTTTATACGCTACTACAAAATAAAATGCCCAGATATACCTTTTTGTTGGGGTTTTAAAGACAAAATGTGCTTTCTGTGCTCCGAGTTTTGAAACCCAATTTTTAGTTTGCAAACTTAGTTTTGAGTCACCAGTGGGCTAACCAATACTTAGTTGATAATTTTCTTGAAATGACTTTTAAGAAACAATAATGTATAATATTGCATTCATTAAGTTGGAGGAAATTATATATATAATCAATGAAATACATTTAGAGCTTTATTACCCAAGGACAGCTTTATTGTTATGTTTGAGGTTGGAAAATGATATACAGGACATGATTCAAAGTTGCATTGAAACTTTTCATTAACTTAAAATTAAATTTGTTTTAGATCTCCATTATTTTCTAGTCTGATTCTTTATTTTTAAAATATGTGACAAGATATTATGTGTACAATTTTGTTAAAACTTGAATGAAATCCTACTTCAATAAATATTTCAGCATTATCAAAAATCTACTATTATCTGCCCAAAGCTCAGTTAACTATCTACCAAAAATTAAATTTGGATTTAGTTCAGTACTTAAAACTTTCTGATGTTTTACATGTTGATTCACGTGTGCTGTTTTTTTTCTTCTTACACGGAACAAATTTCGTTAAAAACTTTTTTTTTTTTAATCAGGTTTACAAATTCATGTAATTTTTAAATCAATCATTTTTAGTATTTAAGTCATGCTACTGAGAAATCCTGATTAAAGAATAAACAAAAACAAAACTTACAGTCTGATTCATTTTTCTGTCATAGGGATAAATGGTAGTTTCGTAGAAGCCTCCATCTTCTGATTGGTATTTAAGTAACCAATTCATTGCTTTGTTTATGATATCTGGATCAATGTATAAGAAATTCTCCCACTCATGGAAAGATGCTTTATGAAATATCCTTGCACAAAAAGCAGTTAACCTGAAAAGTTGAAAATATTCTGGTCAAAAACATTCTTAAAGACACATGCAGAGTAATTAATACTACATCTCTTTACATTAAATAAAAAATAAAGTCCACCAGCTCTTATCATGGTCTTTTTTTATATTTCATTACTACACTGTTCAGTAGAACACAAATAACATCCTTGTAGTTGTCTGTTATCATACCTAATGTAGGATCAAATTTTTTTGCTTTGCATTTAATCAAGGTATATATAGTGCTTTCATCGTATATTTGTTGACTATTAAACCCTACCTAAGGAGATATTAAACTAGATATCTAATATTAAACCTACCACAAGATCCAACTAATAAACCTAGTATTTTTGTATTACTAAACCTATAATACAATCTAAATAATTTGATCTTTTATTCATTAAACTTACCACTAGATTCAACCAATATAGCTAGTACTTGTGTACTACTAAACTTCTGATATAATCTAAATAATTTGGCCTTGTATTCATCAAATTATCATAGCATTGAACTGTTTACACCTTGTGTTTGTCTCAGTGAAGCCTATCCTAGAATCTATGAGCTTTATTATACATCCGTTTGCTATTAAACTTACTGCAGAATCCAATTATTGATATTTTTTTATTTGTATGCTATTAAATATACGACAGGGCCCAACTACTCAACTTTGTACCTGTCTAATATTACTGTAAATCTGTCAGAGGATCTAACTGTTTTTACCTTGCACTAGTTTACTGTTAAGCCTACCTTTTTGTTTTATTTAAATTGTTTTTAATACCACCTCCAAATTCAGATACAAAGAGTAAACAGGTGGCTGAGACGTAGGTTCCTAGACAGGCTAGAGTAAAAAAAAAACTTACCAAACACTTGGTTTGTTATCCCACCTAAAAAGACGGAAGGAACCATCATGATTCTGGTAAGTTAGTTGACGCTGATATTCTGTTTGAAAAATAATATCATAATATAGGCATGTTGACTTATGCTATGCATTAAACAAACTTACATTCAATTTAAAGAAGGCATAACAAATCTAACAATCTTTCATAAACTAAAACTTGTTTTGTGCTGGTTCATTATCACATGACAGTATTACTTCAAACATGAGCATTTTAAAATACAAACAAGTCAACTAAATACTGTTATATATTGATTATAAGTAAACTAACCACTAACACTTTCAATACAAAAGTTAAAATAAGTTAATTAACAAATGTCTTAAACTAGTTCTTAGTGAGCTGTTTATAACCCACCAATATTTAAGTGTTTGAAAGCTTCTTTTTCAAGATCTGGTTTTCGTTGTCCAGTAAGACGCATGTAATGTAGAGTATAGAGGTTGGCTGCAAAGTTAAACATGCTCTGTTCTCCACAATCAAATGGTTTATTTAGCAGACTAGAAGCATTCATAGGCATTGTAGGAAATACAGCCCCAACAACATCACCTGAAATTATCCTAACATTTAATTAACTCTGATCATAATAAAGAAAGAAATATCATCTGAAAAATTTTAACAATCATCAAAAACGAACAATGTACATAAAAAATATCAAAATTATTTACAAAATTACTTACATTTATCAAGATATAAAAGCTGGTGAATAAAAAAGCACCAATAACATGGTCTAAAAGGTCTATAATAATTACTTAACATTAGGCATTGTGGCAAAAGAAAAACAACTTCAACAACATTAACCAAATAAATTAAATGATACTTATGCACAGATAAAATCTTAAACACAAATATACAATGTTGAATTGTTACACAATAAAATTAGCTCAAGGTACATTTTATCCATGTTTTATTCACTACCTAAAGTCTATAAAGCTGGCATTCCACTTCATCTAATTGCCATCCATTAACAAAATTTATTTGTTAAAAACATTCCTTCTCAACCAACTCTTATAATTATATGGCAATTTGGATTCTATAGATAAATTAGCCTCTTTTGATATTGTGTCTCTGTTCATGAATGTGCCAGTTGAAGAGGCACACAGTTATTTTGAGAATAAGATTACTAGGAAGCAAGAAATTGTCCCACATAAAAGTGAGTGAAATTATTATGTTCATTCAGAAGTGTGTGACAAATGTGTACTTTATAGTGGTGAATATATTTAAGGTTTAGCTATTACATCTTCCTTGGTTCCCCTGTTATGCGAGTTATTTATGTTTAAACTTGAAATGGAAAAATTAAATACTTCTGGTGTTAATCCTTTGGCATGGTTAAGATATGCAGATGACAGATTTTTGGTGTGGCACAACACCAATGATACATTAATGCTGTTTGAAGAACATCTTAATTCAGTTAGTCCTACAACTTGGTTTATGCTAGAGATTGAAAAAAAGAAGATCAAGTAAATTTCTTGGATGTGAGTGTCAAATGGAATAATGAGTTTTCCCAATGTTGGATCTTAGAAAAAACATTTTGGATGGCATTCTGCCACACAAAAATTGGTCACAAAAATTATATACCTTTTCTAACTTTGTATTTAGAGCACTGAAAATTTATAATTATGACTGGGTTTAATTTTTTTAAAACATGTAGCTAGGAACAGAGGCTATGGTCCCTAGATTATTGATAGGTTGTATAAAAAAACATGGCAATAAATGAAAAATATCACTATGCCCAAAGTTACAAGAAAATAGTAAAGTCCATGGCATGAGGGTATGCTTGCCATATGTTCAAGGTGTGTAAACAAGAGTAAGTAAAATAATAAAAAATATCTAGGTTTTAGAGTAACTTTCCAGATACATGTCACTTTATGGACTGGAGAAACATTAAAATAATAGATCAGGTTTAGTTTAAGTGCAAAATAAACATTAGAGAATCAGTAAAAATGGAGAAAAACAAAAATATTATTTAAAAAAAAAGTCCAGGTGTAGGAGAAATGAAATACTGGAAATAAGTATTGTAAGTTCTTTGGGGAGGGTTAGGATCATTGTGTTTGAGGTTAAAATGGTGCTGAAGGTGTAATGTAGGTTTATAAGTCAGTATCTGATTTTAACTCTTACTCCTATTGATGACATCAGAGAGTACTGTCAAAACATATAGTCTTTTTAAAAAAGCTAATTTTATTGTGCAATAATTCAACATTGAATGTTCGTTTTTAACCCTTTCACTGCAAATGGGATTTATATTTCCCACTGCACTGGGAAATATAAGTCCCAGACTCAGTGAATGGGTTAAGCATGAGCATGATGAGAACTGTAACAATGATAGTGTTATAAGCTATATTTTTAATGTTTTCAATTTTTTTTTAGCTAGAGAGCATAGAATGTCTAGAAAATTTTAATTTGATATCAAGATTTTCTCACGCATTCAAAGCTAGATTATAAATGAGATAGTTATAAGGATTGTAGCATTATTTCAACATATTGATTTGTTTTATGATAGTTAACATCATTTGTAAAGGAGGCCTACAACAATTGACTGTAGTGTACAAGTGTATGAGCTGGTAAAAACGTTAATGGAAAAAATAAACTAATTTGTGATTGGTATATGAACTGGGCATTAAATCATTTTCCCTAGATAATATAAGAAAGCCCTCCAACAAAATAAAGATGATATTGCAATAGCAGAACTTGAAACATTAATGATACTTATCCAAACATAAGAATGGCACAGAAAAAAATGTCACACTAAAAATGACTATTTATTTTAGTATAAGTATGCTGTGACTCAAATGCATCTGAAATATCAATTTCACATTCCAAAATACTGGGCAGAGGCTGCAAAAAAAAATATAGAAAAAATTCATAACATCAGATTGGTTATCTAAACTATTACAGCTAAAAAAATAAAAACAAAAGATATATTTGGAACAACAACATTTGACACATGTGATATTGAACATGGAAATAGTATGACGAACTGGAACTTTAGTACAATTCCATATACATACACACATTAGCCTACGACATTAAACTTTTTGCCATTAAAAATGTGTCTGAATAGCTTGTTAGGGTTAGTTTTTAAAAGTAAAACTGAAGTTATCAGTATTTCTGTTCATTTGCAGTCATACAGATAACAATAAAAATAGCTTTTAATTAATAACATTTATTATAAACTAATTAAAATATTAACATTTTGCTCTTCTAAAGATGACTAACAATATACTATTTACAAAAATGTGCTATATTATTGCTTACCAAACACTGATACTTTAGCCTTATTTGAGCCAAAAACATATCTCCGATCTCGTTGGAAAGGAACAATGGGTGTTTCAGTGATATTAGTGTCTAAATACTTGATCAGATAAGCTCCTTGAGAAAGATCAAGCAACAGTGAAGTGTGGCGAGGTTGAGGTACTCCATCAGACTGATTAAAAACAAAAGATAGAAACAATAACACATTCTCTGTAAGCAATGTTAAGATGGGTATTACTTAAAAGTAATATCTGTTAAACAATTATCATAAAATAGAAGTAGTAACAATGAACATATGTTTTATTTAACTATTACAACAATGAAAATATAGGTATTATATGTATGTGAATGAATTAAACTTGTAAAGTCTAAGTTTTAGTTCAGTGTTAGGATACTTATCTCTATATATTATATATTTCTTTTTTTTAATTATTCTTTTTACATCTACTTAGTAAAGGTTGACATTATATCTGACATACCTCTACACGAATAGTTTTTGTCACCTTATCCTTAGAAACTTGAGTCTTTGCCACAACTGTAACATTGATATCACCTAGTTTAGTAGGTACTATAGGAAAATATACAACCAAAGACCTTCCAGGATGAACCTAGCCACAAAAAAGAGGAGATCATTGAATAATGCTACAAAAACAATATACTTAAGTACTAAGACCACCGACATTATTCTGTATACAAGTATAATATTATATTAAACAATATTAGTTTTGCACTTAGCATATAAACATGCAGGGTCAATTAAATGTTTCATCAAAAGTGTACATTTTCATATATATAAAGGATCAGTTCTAATATGCTAACACATTTCTAAAATTTGGAATGAGTTTTTCTTTAATATTCCATTTACAAGAAAATATGTTTAAAAAAATATTCAATATGTTGCTGCACTGTACTTCAAAACAATTAATTTTCACCATTAGATATATAAATTGTTTTCCTATTTTTTGTATGCTCCTAGTTTGATATGCTGATAGAGGAAATAACTTAGTGCATATTCACTACAAAAAGAAAAATTGCCAAAAGTTTATCAAAGTCACAATTTCTAGCTACAATCTTAAAAAACAGAATATAACAAGTCTCTCTAGTGTGTCTCTGTCTCAGTTAACTAGCTTACCTATTTCAAATCAGAGTTATTAATAGATAGCTAAAAATATAGTATTAAAAATTGTAAATTGAAGTCTGGTTCAGAGTTCTTGGTTAATAGAATGGAAATATCAAAGTGTACGAAGCAATACACATGTTAGTAACATGGTTTAATTTTTCTTAAGTATGTATAACACTTTCTTGTAGCTGTATATAGTTAACTAACATTGAGAACAAGTGTAGTACAATAATGGACAGTTAGTTTCAAAATAAAGTGAGATTCTACTTACAAATACTAAATGTTGGTGTTCTCCAAATGATGTCCTTGGTTGGTATGACTGTACCCTTCCAAGTGCTTCAACATGAACAAATTTGTAATCTGGAGAATTAGCCAGAACAATAGTCACCTGTAAAGTACAGTAATGTATAATTAATCTCAAACTTATCAGCATATTGCACTTCGAATCAGAAAGATCAGCACAATCATATTATAAATCACAAATAAAACTTCTTCAAAATTGCAATAAATATGTAATCTTTGTAACTGTTCCACACAATAATAAAAACATACATTTTAGTACTTCAGGGGGGTGGTATTAATTAAATCATTGATATTTAATGATAAGGTCAGAGCAAGGTTTAATGGCTGATCAATGACAAAAATAACTAGCCATCTCTTATGCTGATATTCCCTGGCTTTCAGCTGTGGGGGGGGGGGGTATAAAGTTATGGTCAATCCCACTTTTTGTTGGTAAAAGAGTGGCCAAAAGTTGGCAGTGGGTGGTGCAGACTAGCTGCCTCTCCTCTAGTCTATCACTGCCAAGTTAGAAAAAGCTGATGCAGATAGCCCTCAAGTATCCTTGTGCAAAATTCAACAAACAAACAAATACTGGTACAAAGATTAGTAATTTTTAAGAAATTATACACTCTCATATTGTCCATAAAATATATAGATATATAAGTACTGTAGATCTCTTTACAATCTAAAATGATCAGTCAATAATTCACCACCTCCAAAGTGTAATCAGTAATGACATCAAAAGTCATGAGAGAGTCACAAGTGCTAAGTACACTTGTCGTTCATTTCACATATTTTTATGGTTATAGTATCTATCTTTCACCTCAAGTACAAAACTTTATTGATCACTGCAAGTCTTATGATTACCTCTCATTTTGTTCATATCGGAAGTAGCTCCTCCAACAGTTGTATGTTGCATCCGTTTTCCTCAGTAGCTAATGCTACGAAGATTAGTATCAGCTTGTACCCTAATGTTATTTATGATTTGAAACTTA